GTTAAATAAAAAATTTTAATAAGGGGGTATTTATAATTTTTCAAATCACAGTGGCTAATCTGTATTTTAAAAAAATCTCGAGGGTGTATTTGTAACAACCCGAAAATATAAATTGTCTCTTAAATTTTATACTAGTATTATGGTTGTTAATCATATTATTTAATTTTGATGATATCTAAAATATTATTTGTAACAATTTGAATCTTTTTTAATATCCATATTTAATTGACAGAAAATATTATCTTTTTAAAATATATATATTTGTTAAATATTATTTAAATAAAAATATTTTTGAAAACTTTACTATTCACTTTTTGAAAATTTAGGCCGATCACTATTCACTTTTTGACAAAATTAAAATTGATTAATTATATTATTTTGACAAAAATGATTGATTGGTTGTATTATCTTGACAAATGTGATATTAATGAGTTCTCTTTTTTTGACAAATGTGATATATCCAAATGTAGTAGTAGGATATATTTAGTTTAAAATCTCTACAACATATGCAATATTTTAAAGAGAGCATATATTTTCAGATCCATCAAAAATATTATTAAAGGGATTTTTCTGTATGCAAATATTTGATTAGAACATTATATATATAATGCATATAATATAAATAGAATACATCACGTGCGCTATTAAACTTTTTACACTACATTGATTATATCATATTACACTACACTATGTTGATTATATCATATTATAATCAAATAAGAAGAAAAAGATGGAGTTATATATATACATATATATTATAAACAAGATGGAACAAATCATTTGTTTGTTTGAAAGTTGTGAATTTTGTATTAAATTGTCTACAAAAACGGTGACTTCATGTTTAAAAAAACAAAAAAAGGAAAATAAAAAATTAGTCTTACTTTTATCTTTTTAATTATTAACATTTGCTGACTATTTAAAATCAAAGAGCGTGCTTATGTAAGCCATGACATCAAGAGCGTGCTTATGTAAGTCATGACGTCAGGAGCGTGCTTATGTAAGCCATGATGTCAGCAAGGAGCGTCCAATGGATATATTTTTGTGTATAAATAGAAGTGTTGTGTGCGGAGAAAAATCAAGAACTTGAAGAGAAAATTTTCTTAAGCTCCAAAATTCTGAGTACATTGTATTCTGCTCTTTCACTTTCAGATCTAAGTCTAGCCTTTGTTCTTACACTTTCATATCTACTCTTTGTGAGAGAATTATTGTAAAAGAGGGTTTAAGTACCACTTATTCTTATTCCTTATTTTTGTGAAAGATTTTGTAAGGGTAAGACATTTTATTATTGAATGAGGCTCAATAGATAAGAGTAAGTCCTGTGCCAAATTCACAAGCTTGGTGGTGTATTTATTCAATTGATAGTAAAGAAATTTTCAAGGAAGTTCCTTGGGGAGTGGACGTAGGCTTGGCGTGCCGAACCACTATAAATCGTAGTGTTTTATTTTCTCTCTCTATCTCTATCTCTCTTACTTTTATATTGATAATTATTATTCTGTTTTTTTTATTTGTTAAAATTTTGAATATTGTGTTAATTTTAATATTGTGAAATTTTTAATAACTCAATTCACCCCTCCTCTTGGGTTGCCTATCTGGGATAACAATGGTTGTATGTGATGATATATTATTGAATAAATAATAATAAATACATAATCTAATTTGACATTAGATTATCAAATATGAGATTAATTCGAGATTATTATTTAGGGCCAAATTAACAGAAATATGAAATTAAAAAACTAGTTGGGTCAAATTAGAATTAAGATAGTAAATAAATAAATATAAAAGTCAGAGTAAATAAATAATAATATTGATAATAATAATAATGATTGTGGTAGTAAAATAAGTAATTAATTTTCTGTTGGTATACGATAGAATGTAATTTAATTAAAAATTTATTTACTTATATAGTTATATTAAAAAATTAAACTAAAGTATAATTATTTTAAATATTTATTAAAAATAAATATAAATTTATATAATTTATAAATCAAATCTTTTGAAGATATACGGGGCACGTGCGCACGGTGATTCCCCTGGAAAGGAAAAGAAAGAAAAAGGAAAGAAGGGAGAAAGGAACGAAAAAAGAGAGAAAGGAAAAATTGGGGGAAAATAAGAGGAAAAAAATGAAATGAAAATAATGAAAGTCGAAAGAGTCTTTGGTAATAAAAAAAGTATACGGTATTAATTTTAAAGTGAGTTATATTATATCTTGAGTTACCATAATATATTTTACATATGTTTTGACTTACTATATTTATTTTATACAAGTTATGTTTTATAAATTATTATAAATTATATTAATATTTCAATTACGTGGATTAATTTCTGAACTCTATTTGTTTAAAATGAAATCCATAGATATGTTTGTTTATATTTTAAAAAATATTTGACTATAACCTTATAAACAATTATGTTTTGTAGGTATCACTACGGGAGTCCCACGCCTTGGGAGACTTAAATAATCATTGGCTTGTATTTGGTCACTTTATGGTCCTTTAAATAAGTACTACACTATTGTGGGAGCCACTTCTATAATCCGTACGAGTCACCTATTGAATCCGTGTCTCTGTTCTGACTGTCACTTTTGTGACCTCTGTTCCGTTTTGTTCAATACTGTGGTTATGGTTATTTATTTACATAATCTCAGTTTTGCTCTTTAAATGATAATTTGTTCAGACTAAGTTATCTTAAATATTTTAGTTACATAACTAACTATGGTTATTTTGTGTTTCTTATACTCTTGCTATAATATTTCTCACTCTGTCATGTGCTTATAACTGTTTGCCAATTTTCAGAAAATAATGCAATTCGGAAATAGATTTTGAAAAGTCTTAGACACTAGGCTGTGGAATAGACACATACAGCACTTTTATGATATTTTTATATGTAAATATCGACATTTTTTATTAATAAATTTTGTAATAAAAATAGAAACTCCAATAATTATTTTGGTACTCTCATTTAAATATTACTTCCGCTCACATTTATTTATTTGTTTAAGAATTGGCCGGAGGTAACTTCAGTTACTAGCTATCATGATGGTTAACCCTTGAGTACGGAGAGCGGGTCGTAACAGTAATTGTAATTTATCCTATTTTTAAATAAAAAAAATCAAAAATTTATTTTCAAACATATTAATTTTTCTTTTTATTTTTAATAAAAACATTAAAAATTTATTAAAATAAAATTTTCTCATTATTTAATATTATTTATATATATATATATATATTTTTAAAATGAAAAAAAAAATCATTTTCAAACATATTCAGTGTGTTTGGTTTTAGTCATACTCAGCGTGTTTGGTTTTAGTTTTCTAAATTTAGTTTTTTGAAAATTGAGTTTTTTATTTTTCGTATTTTTTTATTTTTAGTAAATATTTTTTAAATTTTAAGCAATTTTTTATATTTTTTTAAATGCACATTCCTTATATGTATCTAAATAGTAAAATATTTATGAAAAAATATTTTAAAAAATTAATAAATACACGAAAATATGAAAATGTACTAATTTTTTATATTTTTGGTACTTAGTGAATTTTTTAAATATTTTTTTCATAAATATTATATTTTTTAAGTGTGTTTATATTTGGAAAATATTTGAGACTCTCACAAAGGAAGACCTTCACGACCCACACCTATTGGCTATTGATGTGTTTGAATTTTTTTTTTCTATCTCTGACAGTGACATGAATAGTCCAGATCATTTTGAAAATTGTTAGGGTTGTATTTTGTGGGGAGTCTCTATCATGACTGTTATGTTAAGTGTGTCTAAAAATTAAAAAAAAATTGTTTAAAATATTAAAAAAAAATTGAAAACAAAAAAATACGAAAAATAAAAAAATAAAATTTTCTGAAAATTATTTTTAAAAAATTAAAACCAAAAAAGCTATGTTAAGTGTGTTTAAAAATTAAACAAATTGCTTAAAATATTATAAAAATTATTAAAAATAAAAAATACCAAAAATAACAAAATAAAATTTTTTGAAAGATATTTTTTTAAAACTAAAACTAGGACTGAGCAAGGAATCCGTGAAATCCGTAATCCGATCCAGTCCAGTCCAATCCGATAGGTTTGGATTGGTTTGTTGAATCCGTGGTTCGGTTCCGGATTGAAAAATTAAAAATCCGTAGTACACGAATTGGTTCTGGATTGAACCCCACGGTTGCGGATTGGAACCGATCCGAACCGTATATAAATAGTATACATTTTTATTATACATCCTCCCCCATAGTATCTTCTCTTATTCTATATAAAATCTAAACTCAAACCTAAAACCGTATAATATCTTCTTTTATTACTTTTGTTTGTTAGTTTTTAGTTTTAATTTGTAAAGATCTAAATATTTATGGTGAAACCAGTTTTCTTATGGTTGTTTAAATTCTAGCACAATATGTCGCTATTATAGAAATAGATATTGCTATTGTGGAACTAATATAGTGTTATGTTTGTTATATATATTTTTTTGTTATTTAATTATGTAAATCCGTGGTCCTAAACCGATCCAATCCGTATTTAAATGGATTGGTTCGGATTGGTTCCATGATTTAAACGGATTGGATTGGTTCTAATTTTTCAGGAACCGTAGATAATGGATTGGTCCTGATTTTATCCCAATCCGATCCAATCCGAACCATGCTCAGCCCTAACTAAAACCAAACAAATTGAATAATTTTTTTCTTCTTATTTTTAATAAAAAAAATTAAAAAATTATTAAAATAATCCAATCTCAAACTTCCACATTTCTTCTCCGAGAAACCTAACGAACTTTCTAGAATTTCATCATCAGAAAACACGTAGCGACTCTGTGGACCCCACACATTTTACACTAAGGTGAGCCCCACACTCTCTCCTCCTGTTCTGACCGCCCAAAGACAAATCTACGAAACTTGTCAGAAAGTGCAAATCCCGACAAAGACCCTAATCCCCCCCTCTCTCTCTAAACTCCTCCTCCTCTCTCATTTTCTCTAGAACTTTCTCTTCCACCTCCATATATATCACACTCTCTCTCTTCTACTCCCCAGAAAAACACTCTATCTCACTCTGTCTCTGTGTGTGTGAAAATGGAAGTAGTGATAGTGAAGGAAGAAGAGACGACGGTTATATCATCGTCGTCGTCGAGCTTGTCGTCCTCTTCGTCGCCGAGGCCTATGGAGGGGCTTCACGATGTGGGTCCGCCTCCGTTTCTCAGCAAGACGTTTGAAATGGTAGAAGACCCTTCTTCTGATTCGGTTGTCTCGTGGAGCAGAGCTCGCAATAGCTTCGTCGTTTGGGACTCTCACAAGTTTTCTACGACTCTGCTTCCTAGGTACTTCAAGCACAACAATTTCTCTAGCTTCATTCGCCAGCTCAATACCTATGTAAGTACTCGCAGTACATTATTATTACTCTCTCAAACCCAAATGCTAGAAATGAAAAACGTGGAACTTATTAATTTCATGTGAATTCAATTGGGTTGTTTTCATGTTTGACAAAATGTTTCATAGACTGTTTTTTCATTTTTGCACCAAAGATGATAATACTTTCTTGCATTTTTGTGTTTTATATTCTGAGTTTAGTAGGAGTTTTTATTTGATTTTGTGAAAATGGTATATAGCTAGCTCAATTCTTTTTTATTTTTATCGTTTGGATCCAGCTCTGCTCCTGTGATCATAAAACATATATGCTCATTCAGAGTTTGAGGTCATTCAGTTCAAAAAATCAATGCTTTGAGGGTTTTGTTTGTAATTTTGGGACTATAATGAAATTACATGTCTTCATTAGTCTTGTTATGATCATTGTTTCATTTTTTTTTTTTTAGCTCCATTTCTTGTTTTGGTATTTTCAATTTTGGGTTTTTAGTTTTTTTTTTTTTTTTGTCATTCCCATGAGTGTTAATGCTTGCACTAAACTACATGTGATCATATGAATCAACCAATTATCTATTCTGGGTTCGTAGATTGATGCAATTCTGATAAACCCCAAATTCATGCAATGCAGGGTTTCAAGAAAGTTGATCCAGATCGATGGGAATTTGCGAACGAAGGGTTTCTGGGAGGTCAGAAACATCTCCTGAAAACCATCAAGAGGCGAAGAAATGTTGCGCAAAACATGCAACAAGAAGTAGGGGCTTGTGTGGAGTTAGGTCAATATGGAATGGAAGAAGAACTCGAAAGGTTAAGGAGGGATCGCAACATGTTAATGGCGGAAATTGTAAAGCTCAGACAACAGCAACAGAATGCGAGGGATAAGGTAAGTGGAATGGAGGAAAGGATACGAAACACGGAGAGAAAGCAACATCAAATGATGAGTTTCCTGGCCAAAGCCCTAAGTAGCCCTTCCTTTGTCCAGCAATACGTGGATAAGTATCTTCAGAAAAGAAAACAGCGAGGCGTTGAGATTGGGCGTAAGAGAAGACTAACAATGAGCCCTAGTGTAGAGAATTTGGAAGAAGTCGCATCATTCACCGTAGAGATTGGCCAAGAACAGGAGGATCTGGTGAATATTGAATCGGATATGGAGACATTGTTCTCTGCTGCATTGGACAACGAATCGAGCAGTGATATAGACCCGAAACCTGAATCTATCTTAACAAGTAGTGGTACCAACTTGGATAATGTTAGTGAGACTATGTGGGAAGAATTCTTTACTGAAGGTGTTATAGGTGGGAATGAAGAGGGAGAAGTGTTGGTGGGCAATCAATTGGAAGTTGATGTGGAAGTAGAGGATTTGGCAACAACGTCTGCAGATTGGGCCGAGGATCTACAAGAGCTTGTAGATCAGATGGGATTTCTCAGGTCAATGCCTTGAAGACTTGCTTTGCTGAGATGAAATGGTTTTAGTGATTTGGTGTGCTGAATTAGCCTCTGCAACTCCATAACCGTTCCTATTGTGGGTACGGTTGGTGAATTTTAACTTTTGTTGTTTGTGTTGGTTTCTAATAAGTGTGTGGCTAATAAGGTTTTGGTTTGTCATATAACAGGGAATGGTGGAAGTTGCAAGGAGGCCAAGAAATGATTCTATTCTTCTGTATCCTTCAATTATTTCCAGTTATCAAATTAGTTTTTTTTTTTTTTTTTAATATTGAAATTTTAAGAAAGTTTTCCGTGTTTGTGATTATATTTTTTGTTGATCCATTTTGCAGGCGGTCTTGCCAGCGAAGAAGTTTGAGGTGTTACATTCCTTGATGTGTTTCTGAAATCGTGCTTTTGGTATCTTCTGCATATATTCGTTCTTAGTTGTAAATATGTATCATAAATGGCACAGAGTTGCCATATATGTAAATGAAAACTACTTAATAAGATATTTTGAAACATCTACGGTTAGAGTAAAAGTTCTCTTATTCACCTGTGTTGTTCATTTTCCATTTTAGTTTGCTTAGAGGTTTGTTGCTGAATTTGTTGCCAACTGAAGAAATTTCCCACTAGACAATAGTTTTTGAACAAACATATGGTCACTTGGATTGGATACTAGTTTGCTGATATTGTTTATATTGTTGGCAAGACTGGATATCATCATTTAACATGGTTTCCAAAACCTATATAGATGATGCACTTGCAGGTTTGAATTCAAATGCTGGCTTCTATGGAGGCGGTACTTAAATATCGGCCAATAAGTATCCTAGTGGCCAATACTTATCAGTAATTTAGACATCTAATGTCAATATGCACCAATATGCAGCCTATACAGTTTGATATTGGCTGATATATAACTGTATTGTTGATATATGTACAACTGAATAGAAGATCTCTTCCACACTCAAAAGTGAAATGATCATGAAGCTGTGATTCAACCTTATGCATGTCTAAGATTTCCTGTCTTTTCTATGCTTAGCAGCGAGGAGTACCAAGGGAATACTGTGAATGTGAAAAGCTCATGCTTGAGCTTTGGTATGTTTGTAGGGCATGGCAAGCTCACTGCTGGAATTAAGGACTGGCAGTTGTGATAGATTAATTGGACCGTCACACCTGAGGTCATATAAGATAGCTGAATGTTGTGAGGCTTTGAATACAGAAGGTGAAATAATTCAGACCAAAATTTTCTTGTCTGTATTATGACCCTGCAGAATGTTCTCTGGTGCATTTTGCAGGTTCTTTGCAAATCAGCCAAAAGTTAGTTACCATCCTACTCGAGTTGTATGTGCTTTGATTGGTGTTGATAAATGCTGTTGGCTGATTGGTCCATGGAGGCTCTGCCTGGCCTAATCTGGATATACAAATGTCTCATGAAGCATAGCATCTAGGAACATTTCAACGAAATTGTCACAGCAGGAGTGAACTCTAATAATCCTCGAGTTTCAACCACATTCTTTTGTTCTGGAGAGAAGTATAGAAAGTTGTGGAACTTGGGGTTTAAGCATTGGTTTTTTATGTTCATCAGACCTCACATGTTTCTGATGCTGTTTCTCTCTTTGCACCAGGTATGGAGTCCTTTTCCATCCTTTCCTTAACTCAATTCAGTTCACGGTTTTGATCCAAAAAAAAAAAATTCAGTTCATGGTTTTAAATTGTTGGCAGTTTTTTTGGCTTCCTGATACTGATACATCTTGACATGCCGGTAGGAATGAAAATTGCTCTGTGTATTGGCCAATTTGCGATGCATATATACCAGACCTAATTCACAATCAGTACGGCCAGTTCAGTGGCTATAAAACTCTTTTTTCATGTGGATGATTTAAAGAATTCACAATCTTGTCACCAATTTCTAATACATATTTCTGGATGCTCTTGATACTGTTGGAATTCTTCCCTTACTACTATCAACTCATTATCTTTCCATGAATTTTCTCAAGGCTTCTTTCACTTGACATGAATTCTTTATTTTTATTTTAAAATTGTGTTATTCATAATTTTTTTTTTTAATTTTATTATAAATAAAAAACTATAAATGAGTAATATTAGCAGATGACACTTATACAATCAAGCTCAGTATTTAAATTTTCGCATAGATCAGAATATCCTTATTTTTAATTTAATTTATTTATTTATTTATTTTATTTTATTTTTTTATAACATAAAACACACCATACAAACTTATATATATATATCAAAAATTTATACATAGATAGAAATACTTACATAGCTTGATCTTGTTTTCAAAAGTTCTTCACCAAGTTCTGATACCAATTACAAAACTAAAAAGGAAAGGAGCTTTTTACTATTTTTATTAAGGAATTATGGTGGAGTTATGGAATTAAGGTACAGAAAGAAGGAAGCTCAAAGATTGAGAGAATACGGAGAGAATTTACATATATTATTATGTTGGCATAAAGGCCAATATATAGACTTACAAGGGGTGAATACAAACAAAATATAACTTAATGCCTATCTAACTCCATATCTAACTTTGCAAGACTTTACGTTCAAAAGTTGCAAAATTTCTAACTCTTTAGGCAAGCCTAGTCATAGGCTTTTTGAAAAGTTTACCTAAAAGTAAATACAAAGAGACAAAAATAAATACAAAAGAAGGACTACAATTATTTGCTCTTTGCTACAGTTTTTACAATTATTACACTGATATACACTGTCTACTCTCCCTGGTTTTCAAAGAGATAGACTGTTGTAGATAAGCTTTGGCTGAGCTAATTTGTCGTGTAGTGTCGGCTGAAAAGATGTGGCTGATCACTTTCCGCTTAATAATGCAGGTTGCTCCACGTATCCTGGATAAGGTTGGAGTCGATCAGGAGAGAGCTGCATTTGATAGTGGGGTCCACTATGGTTTCATCCTGTTGATGAGATTGTGATATTTTTCATCAGTCTCTGATGGAGGGGAATCCGGATCTTGGATGTATTGCTCATTCTGGAAATGTTCTACATCATCCGCAGTCATGGCTAGTTCCAACGGAAGATTCAAATTATTTCTCTTTTTGAGATTTATTAACTTGTCAAGAGCCTCATTAATTTGTGTAGGAGACCTTTGATATGTTATGGGAAAATGAGTTACAAATAATATTCTACCATCTGTAACCATGAATGGCAATTTTGCTGAGCCATGGATGTTGGAAGCTGCTTGTGAAACAGATATTAGACTGTCTATCCAATATTTTGTCAAAGAAAGTTTTTGGATATTTTTCAATCGCTCTCTCCGATGATCTTCATCTATATAATCATCTTCAAATTCAAAATCTTCAGTTTGTTTAAAATACCAAATCTGGTATGGTTGGAAAAAATGTTTTCGTTCTCACTAACCAACAGTGCTGGAGATCCAGAAAGTAAAATATTTGCTCCATCGAAAGTCTTTTACTATCCATGAGAGCATTGCTTTTATGATCATTGGATAATCTATCTATTGGATTGGATCTAAAATTTGCAAAATAACTTGATTAGTTATTCCCCAATCTATATCCTCAAAAAATCACATGTCATGGTGTGCCATGATGGTTATTTTGGGAATTCTATCTTTCAAATTTAATTTATCATAAAATCGTTCTTAGATTTATCTAATCTTATCATGATGATCTTCAATCCGATTTTTGATTAACATAAAAATTTCTTTGGGAAACAAAGTTCTTGCTTTTTCAAAAAGACAAATTCTTTTTATTTGTTCAAAAACTGAATCAAAAAACTCATCTGATATGAGGTCTAATAGCTGAAGAAAATTGTTTATTTTTTCAAAATTAAAATCTTCATTGCAATTCATTTGTTTAAGAATATTGAAACAAAAATTTTACAAATCTTTTAATTTAGCTGTTTGCTCAGCTAATTTATTGGCCAGAACTCCTATGTGTTTTCGAAATTTCACTTTGTTGTCTACAATGTGAGTTTTCTAAACTCCATTAAGTTCTGTATAAATTTCTCTGGATATACTAGGATTGAAAAAATCTTTTATTTCAGATTCATCTGGTCTAGATGTCTGAATATTAGTTGGAACTGAGTTAGTTCTCATTTGACAAAAATTCTTTTGATAAACAGGCATAGCTGGTGCACTGTAAAAAGTTTTTTTAGCTTTGATCATGCTATCATATGCTTTGTAGCTCGCTTCTGAATATCCACAAACTTGCAGATTGGCTTCGTTCCAGTCTGTGTAAATTCTAGGTTGTCTTCCTCAAACACAACATAAACTTTTTCTTCTCTGGAGATTGCTTTTTTAGCAATTGTTACCCAATCTCCTTGAGCGGGTTGTTTACCTTTATCCATTGTTTCCTCTTGGTCTAGAGGTCTTCTGCAAAAATTAAATTTAATTGTTTAGCAATTTAATTTTCTGAAACAATTTCTGCTAAGAAAATCTGTAAAAAAATTGTTAGTACATTTAAGATTTTCTACTTCAAAGGTATATTCAGAAATTTTATTATACCAGGCTAATCGTCTTCCTTGCTCAATAGGTTTTTTATTGATCAAGAAATCTCTTACTGCCTTATTATCAATGCGTACAATAAAATTTTCTAGGGCTAAATAAATATGAAAGCTCTTTATTATCAATTTTATTGCAAATAATTCTTTTTCAAAGATAATATATTTCTGTTCATTTGGTTTAAATGTTCCAGAATTATATCCACAAATTAACTCTTCTTTTTGTAATTTTATGGGTATTGAATTTTTTCTTGGTCTAATCCTATTTTTTGATAAAGGTATCTCTTTATCATACCATAAATTACTTGGTATTACTTTAAGAATACATCCCCAGCATGCTTCTGAGGCATCTGTTTCTAAAATTAATTTATCACCTGTTTTAGGAAGATAAACATCTGGTAAAGTTTTAATATTTTCTTTAATTTGTTTAATTAAAACAACATCTTCTGCTATTCATTCAAAAATAACATTTTTCCTTAATTTGGTTAACCAAGGAATTTCTATTTTTGAAAGATTTTTGATAAAATTTCGTCCATAATTTAAAATGCCTAATAAACTCTGTAATTGTGTTATATTTTCAAGAGTATCAGGAAAATCTCGTACTTTGGACAAAATATGTTCTTGTAATTTTAAACATTTTTGGTCTAAAATTATTCCAAAAAATTCAATTTATTCTTTTTCTAGTTCAATCTTTTTTGGAGATAAAATAATTCCATGCTTTTGAAATTTTTCACAAAGTAATTTTAAATATTTCTTATGCTCTTCCTTGGTTTTAGAGAAGATAAATATAT